CCTCATCACCGCTCGCCGATCTCGCCTCTTTTCTTTGCGCGCCCCCTCTCCCTAAGTGCTTTCAACACGCGCAGAGACACGAGCGCGTACACACGTGCCCCCTCTCCCTCGCCTCTCTCTCTCTCCCGCTCTCCCTCTGCGCAAAGTAGAAAGTGGCTTTAGTGGTTCAGCTTCAACGGCTCTCCGAAGAAAGCAGAGGCGCCCGCGCCCAGACGCTTCTCTCTCCATCGCTCTTGCCCCGTTTGCCCAACTGACTTCCACACGCAAGCGATCCCAACTCCCGAGAGGGTCCGGAGGTGCTGGCGGGGGGGGGGGGGGAGGGAGAGTGGACGGAGGGGCGCGCGGGGGGCTCAGAGGCCCGGGAGCTGCCGAAGGGGCGCCAAGACGACCCGGTGCGAGGCCTCTGTGCCTTCAGAGCCTAAGACGCTGAGGGTGGGGAGGGCGAGCGCTTCTCCCCGTCCCGCACCCCCCCCCAATATCCGCGCTAACTTCAGGGTGCCTGGAAGATACGGCGCAGGAGTGGGTGGGGTGGGGGAGAGTTGGAGAAGCAGAGGAACTAGAAGGTGCGGTGGAAGGCGGCCGAGGTCTGCATTCCTCCCCAAGCCCCCGGAAAAGCCTGCAAAAGCGCCCAAGAATCCTGTGGCACCCAGAAGACGACCACGTTTTGTCCGGCGTTAGCTTTCGCAGGTTGCAGCGGGTGGCACCCGAAGCCGAGGCCACCCGTCCGCGAAAGCTTACCTCCAGGAAAACTTGACGGACTTTCGGGTGTCACAAGGCTCCGCTCTGCTTTGGCCGCCACCGATTAGCCCGCCTCCGAGACGCCAGCGAGCCTTTGGCCCCAACGCTCGCCCCCTGGAATCCAGGCGTCGGGTCCCTGCCCTCCGCCCAGGAGCCACCCTCCGGGCACGGAGCCTCTCTTCCCACCCCCCGTCCCCGTCCTCGCGCACCTCGGGACCCACACTCTCGCGGGGCCTCGTCCCTTTGGCCAACCCACGCAAAGGCAACCCCTGCGGCGCCGGAGACGACCCGGCCGACTCGACTCACCGCCAGCCTCCTCGCGCCGCGCTTCTGTCGCTCATCCCTTCCCCGGTGTCTGCGCCCGGGAGAGCCCGCGCCGGACGAGGGAGGCGGAGGCGGCGGCGGCGGAGGAGGAGGAGCAGGAGAGGCGCGGGGTCCGGAGCGCTCTGGGGAGTCGGGTTACTCTCCGCGCCTACAACTACTTGGCCGAGGACGGTTTGGGGCCTGGGGGGTGGACCGGGAGGGGGGGGCATGTCACGAAGTTATATTTGTAGTCTGCATAACTTTTCCTTACCTGGCCGGCTGGAGGAGACGCTGGGAAACCCCCTCCCCCAATCCAGGATTACTGTGATTTAAAAAGCATCAAGAAAGGACGTCTGTATGCCTCTGTGTAAACATCATCTTTTATGATCGTATAGGAGAAAGCAAATTCGAAGCCCGGTATAACCGGAAACAAACGAACAAGAAATACAACACATACAGCCCGCCTGCAAAATCCAAGGCGCCAAAATGTTGTCTTTTAATGCAAAATTTGAGTGGTTTAGTAGAAGTAGTCAGCACCCCTTGTTTTGGATATAGCTAAGAGAGTGCATATAACAACTGTGATGACAAATAGAATTGAACATGACCAACACAGTGGCGCGTCACCTGAAGAGTTTGCTCAAAAGTTCTGTTTGTGGCTAAGGGATTAATGTGCAGGACTTGGAAAGAGAAGCCTGAATCCTCTCAGAGAGGTGTGTCCTTCACCAGAGAAGTCAAATAAACTGTGGTGGCAAAATGCCACTCATAACAAGGTGGTTGCACCCCTGAGCACAGGCCTGGTGGTGTGATGGCGTATGCACCCCAGGAACACAACCCACACCTTGTTCATGAGTGACACTTTGCTGCTGTGACTTAAACTGTTTCCTTTCTGCAAGCATAAATGGAAGCATCCATGGAATTCCGGCCATTGTTTTTGGGAACTACGACTCCCAGAATCCACCAGCCAGCATGACAAGATCTTGACCATCTAAGGTGATACTTCCAGCGATACTTTCCAGCAGACAGACTATGGAACACATTTCTTTAAGGAATGGCTGCAGATTCAGGAGAAAAGAACTTGCACCCTTTAATTCTTTTGCTTTCGCCATTGCTCCTGTTGTTCCTTGCATAGCAGCTGGTGCCCACTGTGGCTGCCAAGCAGTGTCCGTGGTAACCCACATAAAGGGAAACCAAGACATTCTTTCTCTGTTTCCCTCTCCCCCCTCATCCCCTGTCTCTCACACAGACAGGCAGGGTTTCACTCACACAGACACTCCCTCATCCCCACTCCATTGATGCTCACTCCACAACACAGCTGAGGAGCACTGTACAAGAATATCTCCTGCCCCGCTTCCTATGCACCTGGGCATTCTTCCCTCACATTCATTTGTAAATTTTAGAAGAGGTAGCTTTGTTAATCTGTCGCAGCATATCAGGCCAAAACAAAAGAAAAATAAAGCAGAAACCAAAAAAGTGTGGCGCCTTTAAGACTAACTGCTGTAGTCTCACGGGAGTTTTTGTGGACAAGAAAAAAAGTGGATTTGTCCATGAAAGCTCACATTAAAATATAGCAGTTAGTCTTTAAGGTGCCACAATATTTTTGCCTACTTATTATTATTATTTACTTGCCTTTTGTTTTGGACCGATGCTCGTTTTTAAGAAAATTGTTTCCCCTTGCACAAATGTGCACTCACTAGAGAGTGAGAAGACAGCTCAGCAGCAGGAGAAACACAGGTGACCCTTGACCTTCTGCCCCTGGGAAGGAGGTGGACTGGAGTGGGTGCGCAAGAGGCTGGCACTGCCCCACATGTCCTCCTGGGCTGGCCTCTGCTGCTTCAGGGTGCTAAAAGAATGACAGCAGTGAAAAAACACATCCTAGCAAATTAACGCCAGGGTAGCATCCTTCAATAACACAAGTAGTGGTAGGGAATGTTGCTTCCCTGCTAGTGGTGTGGCACAGACACTTGCTCAATGAAGCTAGATGAGGCAGAAGGAGAGAGCAAGCCAGTGGATAGCAATGATGAAAAGGAACAGCAGGACTAGGGGGCTCTCAGTAACGACCCCCCTCCCGAGGCAAGGGCATGAGCAGCTGTTGGACCATGCCAGCCCCTGCCACCGGCTCTGGATATCCTTATTCCTTGTATCTGACCACTCGTTCCTTCAAACAGATGGTGCAGTGTAGCCTCATTGTCTGCACGGAGTTAGCAGCTGTGTGCATGTTTGGCATCTGGTCATGACGGAATGGGGGAATGTGTGCTTCGGTTGAAGGTATGGGATTCTTGGAGAGCTACTCAGGGCAGAGAGTCCTAAACTAAATGGGTCACTGGTATGAAGCAGATCCTATTTCACACATTGGGAAACCAATATATCTCATAAGACAGATGTATCATGTTCTTTCTCATACTTGAAAACCTACCAACACTAATCCAGATTCAGCCAAAGCCAGATCTTTCCACATGTAAATAACTTCAAATTTTCAGCACTGTAAACTTAGCTGGATTGGTTCATTAAGCCTTCCTGGATGCTTCGTCCCCTGACATTTAGATCAGGGAGTTCAAAGGAAATCAGTCAAGAGATTTTGATATTGGTGCTGGCCACAATTCAAAGATTTGCCTTTTGCCAGCATTCTCCTTGAGATGCAGAATATCCTCCCTGCATGAGGCTGCACACAGTCCTGTGCCACAGGAGCAGAAAACAGCATTCATTTGAACAATTCAGGGATCATTGCAACTTTTCAGAACAAAAGTAATAAAACAGAAGAATGACTTTCTTTCTTATCTGGTACTAAATGGTTTGTCAATCCAAATGCCAATTAAAGAAACCAAAGAACACATTAGTGTGGGGAAAAACATATAAAACGGATAATAGGTAGAGACAGACAAGTTGAAAAGCATTTGGTAGTGTTCCTCGCTTTTGTGAAAGAACAAAACTTGACGATACCTAACCAACTAATGTAGCTATAGAGAATTGTTGTTGTTTAGTTGTTAAGTCATGTCCGACTCTTCATGACCCCATGGACCAGAGCACGCCAGACCCTCCTGTCTTCCACTGCCTCCCAGAGTTTGGTCAGATTCATATTGGAAGCTTCAATTACACTGTCCAACCATCTCATCCTCTGTCATCCCCTTCTCCTCTTGCCCTCACAAGAGGAAAAACACAAGAGGGAAGAGAGCTAAAGAGAACAGTAGTAGTAGTAGGCATCCTTCAGTCTGGAGAGACTATGGTAACGTGCTCTGTATGGAGGTTTTGGAACAGCGTTTAGTGTGGCTGACAAGGCCAATTCGAGAGTGACAATCCCTTCCACACTGAAGACAAATACAATCTGTCTCCTGTCCAGATCCCTGATTTTGCTGGTTTCGGGACTGCCTCTTTGCCTCGGCCTGCTGGACAAGGGTCTCTTCAAATTGGGAGAGGCCATGATGCACCGCCAGCCTCCAGGCTGAATGCTCAGACATCTAGGTTTTCCATCTGTTGAGGTCCATGCCTAAGGCCTTCAGATCCCGCTTGCGGAGATCGTTGTAGCACGGCTGTGGTCGCCCTCTGGGGTGATTTCCCTGCACTAGTTCTCCATCAAGGAGATCTTTTGGAATCCGACTATCAGCCATTCTCATGACATGCCAGAGCCAACGTAGACGGCGCTGTTTCAGTAATGTGTACATGCTAAAAATTCCAGCTCATTCTAGGACTACTCTGTTTGGAACTTTGTCCTGCCAGGTGATACCAAAAATGCGTTGAAGACAACACATATGGAACATGTTCAGCTTCCTCTCCTGCCGTGCACAAAGTGTCCGGGACTCAGTGCAGTACAGGAGTGTGCTCAGGACACAGGCTCTATAGACCTGGACTTTGGTGTATGCCGTCAGCTTATTTATAGAGAACACAACTCCCCAAACTGAATGACTAAGTTTACACAGTACTTAGGGAAAGAGCAATATACTAGATTTCTCTTAAAAATAAGAGCAGATTCAGCATTAGGGGATTCAGAGCTTTCATTCATCCCAGTAATTCACACAAACTGAACTTGTGTATAAAAACTATGTTGGACTACTATTCGCACCCAAGGAAGACAGATTAGGGAAATAAGATGCACTAATGTTGGAAAAGTTGGTCTAGAGGAAAAACATGAAGCAGGGGAACAATTCACAGAGTTCTGCAAAGCCAACAATCTGTTTATTGCAAATACATCAACCAAACAAACAGATGGCTGTACACTTGGACATCACCAGCTGGGCAATACAGAAATCAAATAGACTATATAATTGGAAGCAGGGGATAAAGAAGCTGTTTTCTCTCTATCATAATAAGACATGGAACGGATTGTGGTTCTGATAATGAACTGTTAATATCCAACATTAATGTTGAAAAAGAACATTAAAAGGATTGCAATGCCAAAATGTAATTTAAACAACATTCCCGATTAATTAAAAGTCCAGATAAGGAACAGATTTATTTATTTATATTGGAAGCAGGGGATAAAGAAGCTGTTTTCTCTCTATCATAATAAGACATGGAACGGATTGTGGTTCTGATAATGAACTGTTAATATCCAACATTAATGTTGAAAAAGAACATTAAAAGGATTGCAATGCCAAAATGTAATTTAAACAACATTCCCGATTAATTAAAAGTCCAGATAAGGAACAGATTTATTTATTTATTTCATTTCTAACCTGCCTTTCCCCTATAAAAGGACCCAAGGTGATGTACAACAAAGAACACTTAAAAAAACACTTAAGATTGGTAGCAATCAGTATATGATACTAACAAGATTGATAAACACAATACCAAAAAACATAAGCAACACCAAACAGCATATGAGGA